TGACTCTGGACGGACGGACGGAGACCTAATTATATGTCCCCGTTTTCGGACTTCGTCCGAACGGAGACTAAAAATGAGCAGTTATTAGGATAGCAATTTTATTTGCTCTTATTTGTAGTGCTTTTTCATTTTTTGTCACTAGTTAGCTGTGCCCATCTTAAAAAAAAGAAAGAAATACATTACCACAATAGTTTTGGGTAAATTGATTCTATCTGCCATCTGAGCTATCTCACGGAATGCATTTAATAATGTCCTGTCAGAACTGTTCATCTGCAAGCAAAAACACAAAACATTTCAATAATAACATCACAATGATTAAATCAATGAAGGCAAGTTACAAACTCACAAGTTTCTAATGATAAACGTGTGGATCTGAATTTTCCCCAAATCAGTATACTGGTATTACCATAATCACTTACTACGATATACAGTCTCAAATAAAGACAAAATTTGGAAATTTTCTTGGATAAAAAAGATGTCAGAAAACGCTTCAACATAGAAATACTGCTGACAAAGATGCAATGTGATGACCACTGATGATGTTGTGCGTCCAAAAGTCCTAATTATTTGGAAAGGCAAGTGAGATACAGCTCTTACTAGCAAACAACACTGGCGCAGTGCATACATCTTATAATACAATATCACAGACACAAGTCAAGAGAAAAAAAACCATGATTAATGCAATGATTTAAATCGTACCGTTCTCTTGTTATGGTATTTAGCGGATCCATCTTGATTAAAGCCAGCATTACCAGTTGGTTTCCCGATTATCGTTGATAAATTGCTTCCACTCAGTAGAGAATTTTCTGATTCACCAACACGGCATGGATCTTTTTGGGCTTTGTCATTACTAAATGTACGCCATTCTGAGCCAACATCAACAACCCTACGGAAGACAGGGACAAATACACACAACATGTATCAAACTCATAACCTTGCATGGATATGAGAATTAATTTATCTCAAGTACAATGCTGTAAAGCAGAAACCCTAAATCCTTGATACACCACACAGTGTTCTCCCCAGCATTCAATTTGTGTGCGGGGCCGCCACGCTGCTTTTCCTGCCCGCCACTGTGGTCTCGAGTCGCCACGGTGATTAGTAAGACCGCCACAGTGCTTTTTTCATTGTTCATCCTGTGAACTGTATTACGAAATATAGAAAGAAATACGTAGCTATCAGGGATCTTGCCACGCTTCCGACA